TTGATGATGACTTTGGTAGATAAAGTGTCAGAGCCTTCAAATTCCTTTTAGAATCATAGAATGGTTTGGGTTGGAAAGGAACTTGAAGATCATCTAATTCCAAACCCCCTGCCATTGTCAGGGAGACCTTCCAGTAGGCCAGGTTGCTCAAGGTGCCATCCAATCTGGCGTTGAGCACTTCCAAGGATGGGGCATCCACCACTTCTCTGGGCAACAGTTCCACTGTCTCACTACCCTCAAAGTAAGAGATTTCTTCCTAACAATCTAATCTCAACTGACCCTCTTTCAGTTTAAAATTTTTATCCCTTGTCCTAACACTATACTCCCTGATAAAGAATACCTTCCCTATCTTTCTTGTTAAGTTCCCTCTAAGTACTGGAAGGCTGCTATAAGGCCTTTCCGGAGCCTTCTTGTCTCCACACTGGATAAGCCCAGCTCTCTCAACCTGTCCTCATAGGAGAGGTGCTCCAGCTCCGTGATCATTTTCACATCCCTCCTCTGGACCTGCACAAGCAGGTCCATGTTTGTCATGCTGGGAGGACCCCAAAGCTGAACACATTACTCCTGACTGAGTCTTACAAGAGATTTTAATTCTAAAATTCTAAAAATTCTTAATTCTGAAGCTGTTGAGAAATTCTGCCACTAATTTGCTGGGCTAGAATTTCAGTCTTACTATTGTGTCGTCACCACACTGACAATTCATATGCTTGGGCAAGGCATTGCAGTAATTCCATCTTGTTCCATTTGCATGTCTTGTTAGGTCACTCCTTGCTCTGCATCTTTTGTTTTTCCCATCACCTATCCTTTGTGCTGCTTGTTCATCTTGAACAGAAATGCTTTGGAACAGTGTCTGTCTCACTTGCACATTACTTACCTTGAGATGTGAAAATCACTGAAGTATTTAAATGCTATTGCTATATGAATAATAACAATTAGAATTCTATTCTTTGAAAAAATCCAAGCTGGCTTGCTGCATAGATTCATCAAATCCTTCATAGGAACAAGGCGTATATTTTTAAAGGACGTTTAATTTTTACCACTGTTTTCAACTGATATTACAAGTCTATGCAAAAATGTATGTATTCTGAGTTTCTACAAAAACGTTTGTTTTTTTTAAAAATAATGAGTTTATACTAGTTATTTTTGGTGGTGTTTCAGACAGAAATAACACTATAACTAGTTACAGAAAGTCTTGTGGCTCACACCACAGCAAGTTTTAAATCTTATGAAGTCAATGTTGCAGCTTTCACTTAGAAAAATAGATGAAAATAAAGAGCTTCCTAGATTTTTTTTCCCAAGCCAGATTTGGGGTGTGACCAGCCTAGAGTAGTTTCTGCAGTCAAATGCTTCTTTTGTTGGTAATGTTAAAATTTATTGAAACCACAACCTTTTTCTTTGAAAAGGTGCTCTTATTTTGTTCTGTCCACAGTCTGCTAGAGCAGCAACAACAGGTCCATCTGAAAATAATATCTTTTGAAAAATTAACTGATGGGGAAAACTTCAGTAATTAATTAATATTCTAATGTAATGCTATCATCACATTTCAAAATGGTAAAATATTTGAGAAATAAAACATATTGCTGGTATTTCCAAAGCAGTCATTGGCTCAGACTTAATTCCATACCTATTATCATTCTGGAAAAAAATAAGTGTTCATGTAATCAAGGTGCCATTGAAGTCAAAATAATTTTCCAAGCTGGTGACAACAGCTCTGCTCTTTTTTTTTTTTTTTTTTTTTATTTAGACTTCTTTAAAAATCAAGGTTTTATTGAAAAAAATCTGCTCCCAAGAAAAGGGGATATTATGCCTCATGGTTTTGAAATGCTTGATTTTCTGTCCCTTCATGCAGCACAGTAAGTCTCAGGGAAGAGCAGTGTGGTCTCACTGTTCGTACTTGATTTTTCATTCCCACTGTGTTTCTCTGTTCTATTGTCATCCCCATCACCACATCACATTTCCAAACTGCTGCAGACAGTAATCTGTGTTTTCTCATCCATATTTGAAAGCACTTTGCTCCTTTCAGGGCACTGTCAAATCATTTTGGTGGGGAAGAGAATCTGGTTGCTAGAGAAGCACAGTGGTGAAATTGTTTCTTCTCTTTAAGGACCATTCAGAGATCTTTTTCAGAGCAGTGTTCAGACTGGTCTCAGGAGAAAGGAGAGCATTCTAGAAAATTTGAATTGGGTCTGAATGTCTTGCAGAAGAGAGACTCTAACCCTTGATTTCAACACCCCAGGAAATACCAGATTTTTCCTAGTTTTAGTAAAACACTCTCATAAGATAATGGCAATTGCAAAATTCTGCCTTTTTAGTTATATTTTGCTCAGCCAGCAGGTCAAGAGAAGAAGGATGATGTATCTTGTATAAAGCAGAGAATCTGAACCAGAAAATCCGGAAAGGAGAACATCAAAATATATCCACGAAGAGAAGGACTCCCTGAACCAGACAGATGTTGTTCAAACTTATTCTTAGTGCTTAGTATTATGTTGCAGCCTAAGAAGCAATAGTAACAGAGAAAAGGACAGAATTAGGGCTTCTGGCATCTGATGCTGTTTTTAGCCTAGTTCCCTAGCTAGTTTCACAAAATGTAATGTAAACTCCAAAAGGTTCCTGTGATCTCCCTAAAGAGAAGCAACGAGGTGGCGGAGAAAGTAAAACCTCTTGACAGTCTTGTCGGCTTGTGTTTGTTATACACCAGAGACCCACAGAAGAAAGTAACATTGCAGCTCTCCTAAACTGTAAAGTATTTTGATGAGACATTTAGAATTTAAGGAACACCAGAAAATTTAGTCCTGAGGCAAGAAAACACGGGAAACTGGGGTTTGTTATCATCAATGCCCAAGGAAATTACTTGGTTTAGTTGTATTTGCAACATCATCTTGTGAAGACAAACCTTTTAAATTTTAATTTCTACCTCTGTTTTTTATTTTTTCCTCAAGAACTTAATTTTAAACCAGTTCCACTCTTCTGTTGGTCAGAACAACATCAGTAACTAGATCAAGCTGCCATGTTGACACTATAGAGACCAAAGGATTTCTGGTAATGGGCAAACCTGGGATCTGATGGTAGATAACTGCCCATTGTGTCCCCACTCACAAAATCTGCCATTTCAAGTTATGTTGATATGCTCTTCTGACCAAGGATGGTGATGTCAATGACCGTGGTGGTAGGCCCGAGTTTACATGACACCAATGTTGCTCAGTGCTCCCGTACAAGTTTCAACTTGAGAGAAAAAAAAAAAAAAAAGAAGTGGGGACATTCTAGCCTATGCTTGGGCATCACCAAAGACCAGAAGTCTTACCAGGCAAGGGAGGCACTGGGCAAATTCTCTTCTGTAGAAGAGAGTCTGAGCCAGGAAAGTCTTTTCTCATTATGTCCACCAAAAAATGATGTTTCTCATGGACAGAAAACATTTGTGATGCTGGGCTGAATACAGCAAATCAATGGCTAATAAAATATTTAAGAGCAGAGGCATTAACATCCTTAAAATAAAAGAAAAACCTTTGTTTCTGCTAGTAACTTACCTCATTTTTAATTTATTTCTGTAGTGTTAGTTGATGTTTTCATTTGGGTTGAATGTAATTTCTTTTTTAACTTTTTTTGTTTCAGTCCTAGACTACAAACTGGATTATTTCCTGAAATCTACAGAATGTAGCTTATAAAGAAAATGTGAGTTATAGGCCTGTTGTTCCAGAAAATGTTATGTTTAGAGCCATTGTGTTATTTAACTTGGATAATGTCAAAACTGCAATATAACTAATGGAATATATATAGAAATATGATGCTAAAATTATCATCTTAAAATGAAATAATGGAAAAACTGTTGAAAGGCAAAATTTTACCATAATAAAATAAATTTGGTTGACTCTTTAGAAAAAAAATTAATTTTTATTGTCTCCCATTGTGAGCTGTCAAAGTTAGCACAGCTCCCAAATGTTTCATACTTGATAAAAATACAGGTTTTGCTGGGTGAGTGAACATTTCTTTTTGAATACCACTGAAAGTTTGTTCCTACAACAACATGATGCTGATCTGCTGTGATCTGTAACAATCCTAGCAGAATTAAAAAATACTAAGGCGGGACTCACTTTTTTGTGTGCTTCTTAGAAAGGAAGGAGAAATGAATACATGTTAATATTTTACAGTGACAGAGACCACAGGTGAGAGTAAGGGGAAACTGGTGTCAGGAATAGACTCCAAATCTGGAGCTGGGAGAGCTGAGTGCCCTGGTACAGAAGGATGTGCGATGGCTTGCAGCCTTTTCCCTTCCCAGGGACACCAATGCATCCCTACACCCATTTCCGGGGAAGCCGGAAAAATCCTCTGTTTATTACCAGACTCGGATGTGAGTTATTCTGTACTAAACGGTCCAGTCTATATATTGTTGAAGCACTTGAGAAAGAGCTCCAGTCGCCTGTCAGATTTCATTGAGATTATCCAACAGCTTCAAACCTGGGGGAAAATGGGCTGGTGGGCCCCTGAGCAGACAGACAGACAGACATACACACAGCACATGCAAGTTGAATATAAAACAAACACAGAGAAGAACACTTTGTAGGGTTTTATTTGTTTGTTTGTTTGTTTGTTTTTTCCTATCTGTTGCAATGACTGTCAGCTGTCATAGTACACATACTGAGATGTCAAAAGTTTTAAAACATGAACTTGAAATATGGAAGTACCAGCCATCTTCCTCCTAGCTTTTCTGAGAAAGCAGATGGAAGTGACAAAGGTATTGACCCCTGCTTCCCATACTTATGCAGGAAACCTAACCATTGGCTCTAGTCCTAAGGTATTTTGTGAACTAGAGAAATGCAAAATATATCTACCCTTGGGTTCCCAAGTTCCCAAGCAGTACTTCATCTTCTCTTCAGGGAGTATGAGGCACACTCCAGATGTTGTCAATGGCAGGGGAAATAAATTTAAGCTGTTTCTCACAGGCCATCTGGAGGCATCTCCTTCTCTTAAGATGACATTGAAAAGCCCACCTAACGTAAGTGAGGAGAAATTGAATCTGTCTTTGTTAAGGTTGTAGGTCTGACTTCATTGATCAAGGCTGGGAAAGGCTGAACTGGGTTGCCAAGAATCACAGTTGATGCAGAAACACCGAAAATGTTGTGAGGTAAGAGCAGTTTCTAGTCTCTTCTTGTGTCAGCTTCAGTTGGGACTGATAAGGTTCACCAATGGGTTAGGGACAAATATGGTGGGGACAAATAAGGTTCATCAATGGGTTAGGAAATAAATAATGCAAAAAAAAAGAAAGGAGACATTTTGTAAATTACATTTGTCACTGATGTGTAAAAAAATAGCTCTACGAGTCTACAGAAACAAATGCACAGAGTAAGGGGTTTTTTGGTATTGCCCATGTACAGGAAAGCAGTCACTGTGCACAGCTGCAACACTGGCAATGGGAGATGGAAATCTGGAAATAAGAAAATGTCAAAAAATGTGGCTCAGTTTTAATCGCACTGACTTGTTTACAAGATACCAACATTTCAAAATCAAATTTATTAGTTGAGATGTAGAGAAGGGTCTGCCTGCAGGACCAGACCTCCCCCTTTTTTTTTTAGTTTTGGGAAAGATTATATGGGTAGTTTAGCTGTGTCCCATTAAAATTGGTTTTGGTCTAGTCTTGCACATGCTCTTAAATCAGCATGAAGTACAGTATGCAGCTACAGTAAGCCAACCCCACCACTAAAAAGATGTATCTCCCAAAGAAAAGAATTTTTCCTTCTGCCTTTCTTGATTCTGAACTCATTATAAACAGTTCCTAGCTCTATAAAATTGTTAATGCTGCGTGGTGACACAACTGCACTGACAGATCCTACATTGTCACCTGTACAGGTGCACTTACATACATACACACTTACCTGTGATTATCTTTTCAGATAAGGTCTTCCTGTTTATTTTTAATTATAACTAAAAACTTTCAATTACTTTTATGAAACACAGTTGGAGTTCACAGAGCACTGATTTGCAGAGCAGAAGCTGGTGAAAGGCATTTCTGTCCTCTCTCTGGGGTGTTCCTTATCAATGCGAGCCTATGCTCTGTAGCCCGAAGCTCTGGGGCAACATCTCCCTCAAAAGTAAAAAGCTATGCCTCTGTTTGGTTGTATGGGATACCAGATGTCTCTGTTGAAGAGTGTTTTCCAATGAGTAAGCACAACACTGAAACTCTGAGGTTCCCATGGGAACTAGTCATGCGTAGCTGACTGGAATGAGAATCAACCTTTGAATAGGATGTCTTAGATGGAACATATGACTACATATGAATATAGGAATACCTTTCCTTAAAAATAATAATAATAATCATCTTGTCTCAGGCCCAACCTTCTTGCTTTTAGTCATGGCCAAGAAGTGAGATGTTTTGAGACCATATACTGGCCTTGAAAGAATGCCTTTGACATTTGTTGTGATCCTCTTAGTTATGAAAAAAGGAAGAAAGTTAAGAATTGGAATGTCAAAAACTCTGGGCAGCAAATGGAACAGAGGGGTTTTCTTATATGTAGACTGAAACCTGAAACAAAGTTAGAATCAATGTTCAACCCTCAGGGATTAAGTTAAACCATTTCTGTGTCATTTTGCTTCCAAAAAACGTGACTGACACCATCTTTCTGTTTATGTTCTTTAGATGGGCTTCTGGGACGATGATCTTAGAAAAACCACTTAAACCACATTTCTCATCCGTTTGGGTTCTAACCAGGTCCTAGGATTAAATGACAGGCTTATTTTGTACTAATTGCTCTTTTGCCTGTCATGTAATTTGTCCTATATACAGTACAAGTCCTCCAGTATTTGACAAAAATCCTGTTTTCTTTCTCTCTATTAACCTATCTTATGTATTTTCTTACCATTCATTGCTTCAGACTTGTGTATTTCTCTATCTCTGTCTGGCCTCTGATTTGATGAGTTTTCTTGCTCGTTCAGTGTTTAGTTTTGTTAATGTATGTTTTCTTAAAAGCCTCTTTATTATTTGATATTTTAAAACATCACATTTTGAATAGACTTTATAATATTTTTTGTGTCAGTACTCCTCCACTTTTACCCTTCCCATTCGCAGATAGTTTTCTTTTCCTTGGTTCAGTATTTACAGTTCTCTACATTTTCTGTTCCCTAGGCTTTCCTGTGTTCCTCTTGTTCATGCTCTTGATTTTGATCATTTTATGTAGTCATTCTATTTTTGCCTTTACAGATAATTTTTTTAACAAGGACTCTTGGTCCTTCTGTCACTAACCTTTTCAGACTCCATTTTATTTGAGAGATCATTATTCTACTGGTTTATCATAATAAACATGATGACCTAGTTCTTCATTTTGCAGCCTCAAAGGAGATATTACTCATCATGAAACAGCAAAACTGGCAAAAAGTTATCTTATGGTATATACTGCAGTACAAATGTACAATATCAGAAAGATCCTCTTTTCAGTCATAGCAGCATTTGGCCTTTTATCATCATCTACCCACGTGCCACCTAATAGGTTTAGTTTCATATTTCTTAGTTTTCTCAATGGTAAAGATACAGAAAGTGTTAGAAGAAAAAATCTTCTCGGATTTTCTGGTAGGAAGCAAATAAGGAGTGTTTTTATTAATCACCCTCTGGTTCATGTTGTCATGGTGTCATCTTGCTCCCTGTGCCTTTGCCATGGACAGTGGTGGTAACAGTTGGACTCGATGATCCTTGTGGGTCCCTTCCAACTCAGACTATTCTATGACTCTGTGACTCTGTCTGCCATACCCAGACAGACAAAAGTGTGAAAACCTTGTGCTGTTGGCAATGAAAGCCTTTGATGATGGTGAAGGTATATTTTTGTGGGCTTAGATTCTGCCTCATTTCAGACAGATAAAACCTGCAATCCTGCAAGTCAATTGACAGATAATTGCTGTGCTTCCACAAGGAGGTTGTATTATGATCACCCTGAATTTGCAGGAGTTGTAGGCAAAAGATTATGGACTAATTGCAAAGCAAATCTGGAGACAAAAAAGGACTCATTCAAGATTCACATCAGAGTAGGTAAGGAGTAGAAATTTCCCCTATTTTTCCAGATCTCAGAATCAGTTTTGCCTTGCTTGAGATTGGTACTCTGCCATTTCTTATTCTTAAAACTGAATTATATGAAGTTCCTTCCCTAGTTTTGGTTTGGGCTTTCCATTTTTCACATCCTTAGTTTGAAATATTTTTCTAATACATTCATATTAATTTCCAGGCATCCAGCCTACTTTTAGTCTGGCCTTTGCATCTTTTTTTTCCTTCTCTGTTTTAATCCAACATAAACGATTCCCTTTCAGCACACACAGTACCCTGCTATTTATTTGAGATTGAAAGAAGGAAAGAAAGTAGCTTTCTCATTTGGCTTCTAGGACATCTACAATTTTATGGCATGTTTTGGCCAGTTCCTAGGTAAAGCCCGGTCCTGGTCATTGGTATAATAAGTTAGTGTGTGTGGCTAATAGAACTTGTCTACAGATTCAAACACTTTGGTTTAATCATAATAATGTTTTAAGAGTTACGTATTAGCAGATTTTTATGTACCGTTTAATTATATTTGCAAACAAGAGATGCAGTGTTTCATTCAAGTAATTTTATAATCAACTTTTACATTGCCTAAAATTGTTATTCTAGGTATGGGGCCAGTCTGAATCTTTGGAAATCACCAACACAAAAAAATGCTAAAGCAAGAGAAAAAGAGGGCTCTCTTGACATTCTTCATTTCCAAGAAGGAAAGGGACATTGTTGGTTGTTAGAAATGCATATGTCTGTTTTCATGGCAAACCTAAGTTTTACAGCCTTATATTGTATACATTCCTTTTGGGTTTGGTTTTGGTTGTGTTGGGGTATTTTTTTTTTTAATTGGTTAAAAATGTATAGATGGTTTGTATATTAGGGCAAATTAACTGCTTCTTTGCAGTGTGTGTCTCAGACTTAAGTCAAGGAAAGTATTAATTCTGTTTTGATATATCATCCATTACAGTGGGGTCCTGGCCCATGACTGTGGTTCTGAGCGTCAGTAATAAAACACAAATATAATAGTTAGTAATGCTTTGGCTCCTTGGGTGGAACATCTGTCTGACCTGCACTGTAACCGAATTCGGCTTTCTTCTTTAAATAATACCAAGATTGGAATTTTGTCCATATTTACCACGAAAAGAGGTTTTACCCACATATTTTTTTTCAAAGATCTAAAGCCTTCAGTACCAAGAAATGATTTTGTCTATGTTCAGGGCTCTCTTTATTGTGGTACATGAAAATAAGGGTGTTATAAAAAGTTTCGAAGGTCCCAAGCATTCATCAGACTAGATTTTCAAGATGGGTGTTTAGGCATCTGTTCATCCGCAGGGATTCAGTGTAATATGGGTATGCCAGCTGTCTGGAGTGCTTCAGGGGGATTTTGGCATCCCAGCTGTGATCTGAGCCCACATGGAGTTCTGGCTGGGTAGGAATACAACGGGAAACACTCAGGAGAAGAAATTATGCTTATACTCTGCCCCTGTCTTTGACACCTTGACCAAGATGTTGGAAAATTGCTCTCCTACATCCAGGGTACTTCGTGACTGAGGGAATTACTATTGGAACATGGCTGACAAAAGAGGCTGTCTAGACTTGCAGGTGAAACACTCTCTTGGCAGGTAGGAGACCAAGCGAGAGTATTTAAAGCATGGTGACACTTAAGAGAATACCTCAGTCACAAAGCCAGTTCCAAACCCTTCTCTGGAACACCTAAAACTGTGAGGATGTTCTCACCTCTCCTGTTCTAGAGCACCCTTCTTTATGGAACTTGGCCAGTGTCCGTGAGGCAGAGCAGGTAGCTGGCCCTATCCTGAAAGTTGTGGCATTAGCTGAAGAGAGTGGTAAATTAAATTATTTAATGAAAGGTTAAACAGCTTCAACTGAGAGAAATGGTAGCACCTTCTACCATCTCCCTGAGCTTCTCTGCCTTGGCTGAAAGCCTTCTGGTGTTGTAATTAATGTGTTCATGAAGGACCGAGGTGCAGGTTTAGCTGCTATATCCAGGTATCTCACAGCTCCAATGAAAGATTAAAAATGTAGCCTCCCTTCTTCCCCTTTTGTGTTGGTAAGTTCTGGCACCACTTGCAGGACCTGGCTATGCATGAGGCTGGCATAAGGAAAACTGGTTTGAGACACAGTCTTGCATTGCCTCATCCCAAAGTAATGCTTGTCATTGCCAGGACTGAGGCACTTCTGGAGACCCTCTAGGACAAAACTGAAATGACCAATATATTCTCACATTAAAAAAAGAGATATATAGGTATCTACCAGTACCAGGAAGAGATGTGCTGGGTGAACAATTTTAGCATGAGTTCCTAATATGGTAGGTCTCCTAGGTTTCCTCCTGAAGTCCTTCTGGTCCAATGCTTATTTTTTCCAGAAGGACCTGAAGCCTGGCTCACAGAATTCTCCTACCTTTGGAAATCTGGTCATGGTATTTTCTGTGAGTTTCTAACTGTAAGATTCCTACCACAGAGATATTTAAATTTTGGAGACATTTTATGAGTCCTGTCAAACTCCTCCACTCCTCCTTCCTGCCTCTTATTTTAGTAGGTAAAGAATCTTTTATATCTGAGGAACTCAAAATAATTTTTGCATCTTTTTTGTGTTAAATTTCCTTCTCTAGACTGCACTAGAGCTGCTCAAATGTATTGAGAGTGTCTGAAGAATAGCTTTTCCCCATTTTAATGTGTTTAGCAGACCAAAGATTTTAGCTGCGTGTTCTGTCAATTTGCTGTACCAGTAACTTAAACATTTTTAGCTCCCAGTATGAAGAAAGCTCCTTGGTTCTCCGCTGAAGACTGAAATTACTATTGCAATACCTTGGCTGAGGAGCAAGATGAATTTAATTCATCTGTATGTGACACTCCCACACACCTCCCCCCCAGCAGGTGGAAAAAAACTGAAGAGGACTTGGCTGAGAATCTAAGGGGATGTGCGCAGGTACATCAGTTATGTTGGCATAGGACAGTAACAATTTTCACATGCTCTTGCTTGCATTCCCCCTTTCTTTCTCCTTCTCCCACAGCAGCAATATGCTGAATGTGAGTCTTGTAGAAAGATAATTCTTTTTTTTTCTACTGCTGAGCAGAGTACAGCTGAATACTCCTCTGGGCATGGATCTTCGGTCTTGGAACAAAGCCATATTCTAGTCCTTACTGGCAGAGCCATATTCATTGTTTGAAAAGCATGTTATGTCATGAAAGGTTGCATAAACAATTCATCAACTGAAAGCAGCATAAACATGCCTAAACGACCTATTAGAAGAGTGTGGGGAAAGCTGAAGTTTGGAGAAAGGTAGTTCAGCTAGTGCTTCAGGTGCATTTAGTTTCTTTCTTTAAAGAAACTGAAAATGAAACTCCTCAACTCTTATCCTAGCGGAGAAGAGCAGTTCATAGCATCATCCTAGGATGATGCAGGTGTGAAGGGACCTCAGTAGGTCTCTAGTCTAGTTTCTTGATCAGCAGTAAGGTCAACTACAAAGTTCTGAAGGGTGATGAAAATAGGGTCAAAGATAAAATAATAGAGTTGAGTTTAGACATTCAGATAAAAGGATAAAATATCAGGAAAAAAATACAAGGATGTAAATAGGGCAAGGAATGAGAAAATTACTAATATATTGGCACAGTGGAGAGTCATGGCTTGCAAAAGTCTTGATCTAAGATCTGTTACAATCTGCTGAAAGATTTGAAGCAAAGTCAAAGAGTTAGGGAATCAGACTCTGAGACTGATAGTTCACGGAAAGATTAAAGAATGACTTGAAATGCAGTTGGGCAGTGAGAAGGTAATGTCAAGGTAATGTCAAGGTAAATGACACCCACTAGCCTTCTCTCAGCTAGAAATCCACGACATTTATCATAGAAGGATATCAGGTTGGTCAAACATGACTTACTACCAGTAAATCCATGCTGGAAATTTACTTTTCCTTCTCCATGCACTCATGACCAGTTTTTTGTCTGGGTCAAGATTTTTGTCTTTAATCCCTGACTTGGTCTTCATATTGTGCTCTTCGCATCATCATCTCAGAACCCTTCCACTTATCACCAGAGGACTGGGAGACCCCACTGAGAACACGGGCAAAGCAGACATTGAGTACATTAACTTGTCGACTATCTCTAAACCCCTACTCCAATTAGTATTTAGCCTTGCATTTTCCTTGTTCAGTGTTTTACTACTACTTTGGTCATAGAAGCTCTTCTTGAAAGTTTTAACTCTGTCTGGCCTTTGGCTTTTGTGACACTGTGTATTCTGGAAATGTTTTCAAGTTCTTCCTTCATATCTTGGCCCTGCTTCCACTTTACTTTGCCTTTTTGCATCAGAGCTTGGTCACGACTTTCCAGCCCAGCCAGACTAATATGCTGGTAAGTCTACTTGATTTCCTAGGGATTGTGATGAACTGTTCCCTAAAGACCTGCCAGCTTCACTGATCTCCTTTGACTCTTCAGGGACACAATGATATCACCTACCTGTTCCTTGAATAGTCTGAACTCTGCTCTCTTATGCTTCACTATCTCTTTCCTTACTCCCCTCTGAATCTCAAAGTCCACTATTTCATGGTCATTGCAGTCAACATTGCCATTGATTATCTTATCTCTGATCAGCTCTTCCTTGTTAGTGAATAGTAGATCCAATCATGTATCAACCTTAGTTGCCCATTGTATACCTGAGACAAGAAGTTATCCTCTTCCACAGATCCTCTTGACTGTCTGTGTCCCATCGCATTATCCTTCTGGCTGCTGTTGAGAACGTTGAAGTCTGCCTTGAGGTGCAGGGTCTGTGATCCAGACATTTCTGTACATTTGAAAAACTGCTGTGATGGAAATACAATGCTGAATGATGAGAATTTAGTGCAGGCTACTTCAGCTATAACATTGTAAATAATAAATATTATTTTATAGGTCATAGGATCATAGCATAGTTCAGGTGCAAAGGGACTTTGGTAAGACCACCTCTGTCTCAAAGCAAGGGCAACTATGAGATCAGACCAGATTGCTCAGGTCTTAATCTATATGTGTTCTGAAAACCTCCAAGGCTGGAGACCACACAGCCCCTCTGAACAATCCATTCCTGTGATTGACAGTCCTGACCTTCTTATGTTTAACAGTGAATAAGCAAAAAAAAAAAAAAAAATTAAAAGAATGAATATGCTCATCATCATTTTGTAGATGACAATTTAATGCATCTGCTAGTGAATGCTCATAAATCTTCTCTTTAAAACTGAGATCATGAAAAAATTATAAATTATTCCATGAGATAACCATTGAAAAACAAATACAACTGCCTTCAATAAATCAGTCTTCATATTAAGAAGTCATTAGAAGAATCTTAGTGTGTTAGCAGCTTCTCTTCAGAGGCTCCCTCAATCAGATCTGTAGTGAGTATTACCATTGCAATGCTGCACTGTATAATAAGTATTGAAAAAACTGTAAGTTCAGCCTTATTTTGCTCTTATGGTTTGAGGTTACGTTGCCACAGACTGATGAAGGCATGACATAGAATGTAAAATGAAGCATTACCGCATCTGCTGTTGTATCAAAGGCATTTGTCTTGCAGTATCACCACAGAAATTTTGTAAAGAAATAGAATGATACTGTGTTGCCATCATATTAGTACTAGTTACACTCTGACATAATTTTATACCCTCTTTTTCCCACCAGTATTTCAAGTCTGGTATTCCTACACCAATTTGGGACATACTTTGGTGATGATGTAGATATATAAAAACTGTAACAGAGATGATTCATTTTTTTTTTTTCTTATTTCTGGACAACTTTTGGCAAAACTTACAAAACCAACCACTAATATAATATAAATATAGAGGAAACTTTTCTATTTCTAGAGGCAATTGTACTTGCAAAGGTGCTATATTTTAGCACTTTGAGGATTGCCATCACACAGTCATGTCCTATCATCTGGGGTCATAGTCACTTAGAAAGCAAAGCAGTGTCCATTTGCAATTGTGACTATTTGTGTTATTTCCTTTCCCATGCACAGAGGTGCCTTGTTTTTGTTCCTAACAACAGCCATTTCAGCTCCAAGAAAAGCATACCTTCCTAACAATGAGATCCGAAGGGAGACCTCATGCTGAAATGACTGAAAGGGCTCTGTGAAAGAAGGGGAAAACCCTGTTGTAATGAGCCTCTCCCTTGAGACGTGAGAGGTTTTGCAAACCTGGGGGACAAACTGAACAGCTTCTTCCTCTGGCTGAGGAATTCAGCCCTTTTTGTGGGGAATATATAAATGCCCTCCCTGGACTGGTGCAAATACATGACTTACTACTGCACCACCAAAACCGAATCAGACATGAAATTCTGGCCGGTTCATGAGGATGTGCTGTAGCAGAGGAGATTTCAAAAGGACTTTAATTATCTTTTTATTTCCTGTGTGTGTTTCAGGCTGGCACTGCCTCTGGTCCTGAGCTCAGCTTTTGGGAATACAGACAAAGTTGGAGACGACAAGTGAGAGAGGGCATTACATGTTAACCCCAAGAGATATACTGTCAGATGCTTTTCCTCAGACAATGTGAACCTGATTGAAGCTGTGCCATTTCTTTGGTGCTCCAGAGACATCAGTGGCTACAACCTGCACCACCATAGCCATAAGGTAAGAGAGAAGAGTGTCTCAAATATGTTCCATAGCAGAGCAATTAACAGCTGCATATGTGGCCGCCATCATAAGGACTGATGGATACCAAAGGAACTGAAGAAAGTCTGACCCAGAACTGGAAACTTTGCTATTCTATGGTCCAGGCAGATATCCCACATATCCTGTTCCTACCTTCTTTGAGAGATTGGTGTTTTTGAAATCTTCTTGTGGAGAGGTGGACTGTGAAATATCTGAAATATGGAGCTAAACCTGCATTTCCCACATCCCAACAGGTGACTTTTTTGGTGGGCAATCAAGATCTTCATGGTGTCTCTGTGTAGCCCCATAACTGACTTTTTTCACAGATATAAATCAGATAAGCAATGGCCCAAGCAGCCGGGACATTTAAGGTCCTCTCAAAAACTAATCAACACACTGACTCTTAACTATCAAATGTGACCTTTTCCATGAAGATTTTTGTGAATATTGGTTCAAATATGATATATTCTGATATAGAATCTCACAAATAGGTTGTGACTGTGAACCTGGAATTGAGCACAAATCAAGGTCCTGCTCACCAAGCCACTATCTGCTCTTTATTTAAGTTACTTCAAAACCAAATACTTCTTCCATGGTGCCTGAAGTACATGATATAATTAATATAAGTTAATAAATTTGCAGGTACCATCGGGACAAGCATATGTAAAAAAAGTGTGAGTACCTAGTCCCTTTCTACAATTTTATTCAGTTTTTTGCTGTCCCTCCCCTTGTTTATTGGTGCCATCTGGCACATCTCATGCAGTAGACATCTATCTTGTCACAAATGCGAACTACTAACAAACTAGTGAGCTACTCTACACTTCCAGTGAGGTGATCGCATTTTGCCGCCTTCTGCATTCAGTAGGAGCATCACCTCCTGCAAGCACCCAAAAAGCAAGAGGCAGTCTCTTGCAGAGGGCTATTTAGCTTCTAGGAAAGCTGAGCTGTTGCCTGACACCCACTATTTTTCTTTGTGTGTTTTTGCAGGGAACCTGTGTTGACTGACTCCTAATTTAGGGTCCTTTGGTTAGATGAAATGAACCTGAGCCCTCGACAGGACTTGAGTATGTAAATCTTTGAGGATTTGAGCCTATTGTCTTTGTACAAGGATCAAAGTCAAATCTTGCCTATTTACTTTTTAATGACAAACAAATTTTTGGATGCTATTTAAAAATAGTAATTTCTGATAATGACTCATTTATAGAAGTTATTACTTGCTTCTAGTTTTCTTTTAACAGATCTAGAAATAAGAGAAAGCCTGAATTATAATATTTTTATATTGCAATATTGTCTTTTATTGGATTTTTTTAAAAGCCAACAAAGCTGGAAATTCTGATCTTACATTTTAATTTGAACTGCATTCATTAATGGAATTAGATACAAATCAAAGTTTAACATCTTGAATGTATTACCATTTTTGCATTCCTTTTTACTTACTTAAGAGCCTTTTTGGCTAACCATGTAGAACTGAAATGGTGAATTAGTAATTACACAGAAACCTGGAGTATGGCACATGATTGCCCATTATCAGATAAAAACCCCAAATCCACAGAAAGATTAGAATTTTTGCAAAGAGATGTTTGCCTTTGCAGAAGCACCTGTTTTGACCTTCTGGTTTGGCAGATAACCATTCATTTAAAATAACAGATAGATGAAATAGGTTCTCCGTAATCTTGCTCTAACGTCTAAACCTGCTGTTGCTATGGGAAATGTATTTCCCATGCAACTCTCCTGAATATTACATGATGATCTTAATCCTTGCCATATGTGCACATTGAGAAAAGAGAAAGGTTATGGTTTTTTGGTGTGTTCTTCCCTTCCGGCCTCTGCTGTATTTGATCACTTTGACCTGTAAACATACTGCTTATCTCCACAGCATTTCACTCTATAGAACATAATGCATCTTTTAATGAGTCACTGTCTTACTGTCTCGTGAATATTCAAATTACATTTGAAATTACTGGATGAAAAGAAAAGCAAGTTAAATACCAGTACCCACTTGGTTAAGCTGTCATATTATTGTTACATTTCTAGTGAAATGCCAGCCAAATTTCCCAGGTGCAGTTTCCATGTCCTTCACATAACATGAAAATAAAATCTCTGCACTAAAATAATGCATGCAAATATACTGGTGGTTATTAGGGGAAAAAAACACACATGGTGTAAGTTCATCCAAAAGAAACTATATTAAATATCTGTTGTGAGACAGAATTTTGGATAAGCTTTAAGCAACTTTTCATCAGCATGGTTCTCTGAAGAGAAACACTTTCCAGTATTGCTCCTCTTTATAAATGAGCTAACATTGGACGTTACCAAGCACCCAAACAACCGGGTTGTTTCAGACTTGCAGTACATTAATAAATTATGATGGTTGTAAGAGATATTGCAGATATTTTTCCAGGTCTGTGCAAACCCCAACAAAGAAGGAAAAAAAAAAGAAAGAAAAATCCAAAAGAAGTCTCTAAGGTCTTTGGTTTTTCTGGGGGGCCAAAGATGTACAAGCCTAAAGCAGGAAGGCTACTCTATGTTGAAAGGCCACTGCTGACAATCTGTGATCTTGGTGCTAGGGAAAGGGCAGATGTCCTCAGAATGAGCCTACTGTCTGTCTGAACTGGCAGCCCTGGGTTTGTTTATTTGTTTGTTGTGGATGTTTTTTGAACAGTAGCACAGCAGAAGGTTGCTAAATGCAAGTATAATTAGAAAGGTCTGAAAATCCTCCACTGACACAGCAGATCCAGAGGAACAGATGGTGTACCTCTTCGATAGTCTCCTGTCAGAGAGGGTGATACAAATCCTCACCACACCTTGTTCGAGGTCTCATCACACAACTTTGAGGAAGATTTCAGACGAGGAGTTTTACAGGATATTATTTTAACATTAGATAGACATATATATTAAAAATTCTTCATTTTTTTAAAATTTTGTAGACACAAAATTTAGACTTAAAAAAACCCAACCAGACCACAGGAGTTTCTTTTTGTTATTTGTATGAGTTTCAACCCATATTTCTGTAATCTTCAACAGTGAACAATGTAGCCTATTTCAGGTTCTCATTTTATGGTAGACTTCCTGTTGGGATCTGTAAGACCTAAACAGTGAAATGCAAAACAATTGAGAGACCACTCACTTAAAAAAAAAAAATAAAAATCGTTCTGTTTAATAAATAACCAAAGCTTTTTTTGTGCATCCAGGTTTTGCAGAAAACCTATGGGCCTGAAGCAGCTATCAGCCATCCCTGTGTCTTCAGAGCCAGAGTCGATTGTGGTGCAGCAGTCCATGGGGTCACACAGAGCATGCTTATGTCTCCTCTAATGTACAACGGCTGTGGGTAGGTCTTGGATCCACACACTCTCCACACTTCTTCTTATCTTAAATGTAGGGCAGGGAGGATTGACTGGTGGCAGAAAACAACCCTCAGCATTTACTTCTAATTTAAATTCAAAGCAAAATGACTTCAACCAGACCAACTAGAGAGGGGATGTTTCCAATAAAGGCTATAAATACCCCTCTGAGCACAAGTATACTTGCAAATCTGGATTTTTGGTAGTCATATATGTTCAAGCTTTAGATGAATTAACTTGTTTGAGATGCTGAACACATTCAGAATATCATGAAACACCACTATGTTTATTTAATACTACCTCAACACTTGAAATATTACATTATATGTACTCTGATGTCACTACCCCATTGACTTTTGGAAATTAAAATTATGAGAAGGATGTGATACTATTTTCACACAGGTACATTTTATTTCCCTGGGAGTAGAGAAATTTGGATACATACAGGCTTCAATCTCAGCATTTCCCCCCTCACCCCATTTCTTCCCATTTAAAATGTATGCAGTGTTGCCATTACAGCTCATGTACTAAATAACTGGAAGCATCAAACCATCCAAAATAAGCTGCAAAATCAGCACTCTTAGGTTGTGTTTTTATATCCAATCAGAAGAAAACTTTGCCTGCTGCAAAGATTAAACAAAAATACCCTGATACGTGTATCATATAAGGCAATGATATTAGCCCAAAAATGTAAAAATGTGAAGGTCTTGCATTGAAAATTATTTTTAATGTATTATTTAAGAGGGATGAAATAAGTTTTAAAAGCTTATGTGAACCCTTAAAATGCCAGTTTTAGGAATCAATATGGCAATAAAAACAACATACATCAGATGCTGGAAAATGTCTGGGGCTAACGTGATAAATTGCTAGGTTTGTGCCTGTTTTGATGTTAATTTTGCAAATTACTTTTTTTGGGTGAAGATGGCCCTGGGGCCTGCAGTCTTTGCAACTCACTCTTCCCAGTAAAGAAAGTGAAATGTGAGTAATTATGTCTGAAAACAAATGTTCTGAAGAGTCTTAAGACTATTTACATGGTTTGGAGGTCTTACTTTTTTTCCTGTATGATACAGCATCACCAGTCCCGGTTTTGTCCGGCTCCCATGAATGCCCAGGAAATGGCTGCTGTCATCTGTGTTATGGAGCCGGAGCATCAACTGAGTGCAGGGCAGCTGCCTCTGACAGCCCTGACAGCTGGGCAGCTGCTGTTGGATGAAGTTCTGTGGAGCATCCATCCTACACACTGGTTTCAACCTTCCCGCAGGGTGGTGGTCTAAAGCAGCCTGGATACTCAGAGAGGCAGATATCTGTAGCAAGATGTGGTGTTCACCATTCGGAGATGAAAATCCCATCTGGAGGAGGAAGACAGAAAAGGAACACTGAACTTTCCTATGCTGCAATATGAAGTTGTTTTGAGTTTTTTTTTCTGCTCTGTCATGCACATTTTTCTAATCTGAATTCAAGCCTAATGTCATCTGCCTTCGTTTCCTCGGTGCTTATGTGGTTTTCACATGTGCTCATCACTTTGAGGACAAATTCTTACATGGCAGGGAATGGGTCCAAATGGCTCATCCATTTTGTCAAAGCTGATTTATCATCAGGATCAAAGCAAGTCTCTTTTTGAAGATATTTCCCCTGCTGCTTCTCCAGCTTCCTAGGGGCTTGTTTCTCCTCTCCTTGTTTCTGGGGAGGAAGGCTCTCCTTTTCTGTTTCTGTGTTATCTTGTTTCCTTGCTGCAGTTGTGCTGGGTATGGTCTGAAGCCCATAATCTCTGTGGAGCTACTCTGCCTCTGGAATTTTCTTTGTCCTCTCTGTGTTTTTTCTTTGCTTTCCTCTGGGTTTCTAAACTTCTTTTGTGTCTCTTCTCCTAATATTAGCATCAGTAACCTGTCTGTGTGCCATGCCAGTGTTTTGAGAGAAAGCACTGTCTTCTGCAGAGAGGTCCTGCTGTCTCCTTGTGTTTACATTGAAGTAAGACCTAACAAATTTTGCCATGTATTTGCTCAGTTTAGGTGTTTTTGTGGGAGCAAGCACAGCAGTTAAGACAGCCAACTGCTTTCAGTGTCTCCCAGTGCAGTAATTTGCAATAGACGGACCTGTTCTATGCACAGCTTCTTCAAAACTTAGCTTTCTTTGATCTGCAGAGATATTTTTACATGATTTGTGGAAACTAACAAAGCTGTGTAATCATGATGAGTAAAATTTCCTAGCTAGGGTGCAGTAACTCTGAGACAGGCAATGAACTCAGACTGGTTTGCCTATGTCTGCATCTATGTGGAGGCCTACCTTTGACAGGTAGAATTAGAAATTCCCTGTGCCCTTTGAAATTCACTGTGTACCCTTTGAACTGCTCCTGAATGGTCTTCCAAAAAAGATAAACACAGAAAAATCCCAGGATATGTTTGTATCTCTCCTAAAGAAAACAGGACTCTTTTCCCTCAGCATTCAGAGCACCTACCGTAATTTCTGTGCATGCTTTCATTTTACAGACATGAACTCAGCTCATGAAATGCTAATGGCAGAGTTTTTGGGTCTGCCTGGGTGTGGGAGACCATGTGTGCTACAGACAGAAGCCTTGCATGTATTGCTTGGCATTGATAAAATTCTCAGACTGTTGAGATGATCTTGAAAATGTTCTTGAGGTTCACCTCAAAATGCTATTAAATAAACTCTATGAGTCCAGGTTAAAATACTTCTGTGTTACGGTTAAAATACTTCTGTG